GGGGTACTCAGAATTCATATTTTGCCTTTGTCCCACGCTCGTGACCGAATCGAAAAAAACGTTTTTCTTCATTTTATATGCGAGCTAAAAAGTAACATCTTTCTTAAGGCTTCAACTTACATTTTTGTTTTTCTTACAGCGGGGTCAACATGTATGCCATGCTGACAGGAAAACTTCCCTACTCGGCCGAGCCGTTCCACATAACCACTCTGTACAATAAAATGAAAAGAAATGACATGAACCCAATTCCAGATCATTTGTCATCGTGTAAGTTTTAAATTTATCATTTCCGTTTCTTTTAATATTTTTTGATCATTTTTGTTTTGTGCTTGACAAAAAATCACGAGTCTTTGTTACACTGAATTTTGGTATCACACAAGTGGCAAAAACAAAAAAAAAAACAAAAAAAAAATACGGCAAAGGTCTATGGAAAGGAAGGGGTGGGGAAGAGGAGGGAAAATCCGGAACCGCCGAACCTACCCGACCCTCTCGCAAGATCACCCACCAGGTTTCTTTTCTTTCAACCCCTCTTTGGCTCCATTGGGGGAAGAGGCTTCGTGGTTGATCGAGAGAGGATGTGTGTTTATATTTGTATCCTTGATTGACCACTCCCCTAAAGGTGCCTTTCAGAGCCACTACGATTGAAGGAATGAATGATTGAATGAATAAATTAACATTACGTTTAAAATCCCAACTTGCGGGAGGCAGACCAGTTGGTTCAGTATACATAAAGCGTAGCCAAGGAGTCGAACAAGGGGCAAACGAGAACAACTCCGTTGAGTAGAACCCGGGACTACCAGATTACAAGACCAGCTTCTTGATCACTCGGCCATACTGCCGAGAACACAGATTTCTTAGAATCAGTGCTTTTTAACACATGTTTCATTTCCTGTCGGTAGCGTGCAAAGACCTCATCCAGCGTTTACTGACGTTCAACCGCGAAAGTCGGATTACACTGGATGAAGTCCTTAACCACGAGTGGTTGCAGAAGGGATTTGATGGTCCCGTAATCCCGATTGCGTTCCCGAATTACCTGCAACCTGAAGAACTGGACAAGAATATCATAAGACACATGGTCAACAAGATGGAGTTCAAACAGCAGGAAACAGTGGATGCAGTTGCCCAGAACAGGTGACCAATAAAGAGATATAAATCGATCAGATTGAATGTTTGCAGTAGTATATCCAGGAAATGACTCTCTGTGTAGTGATTTGAAGCGCTGATTCTTTTGGAGGGTCGAAAACGAATGAATGGATATCGGAGGACCCTCAGGATGAGCTGAAAACCGCGTTTTGATTCGTCTTTGTGATTGGTCAAGGAAACCCGCGCCATCCTCTTAACCAATCAGATGTAAACTTTCAACCAATCGTAACTTGGCTACTATCGTTTTCCCGCGCTTCTGAGGAGTCGCTGGTATTTTGAGCTATTATTTTGAGCTCTGATTGGCTGCTTGTGATCTTACTATCGTTTTCCCGCGCTTCTGATGAGTCGCTGGTGGCTGCTTGTGATCTTTATCTTTGCATAGATTGGCCGCTGTGATTAGTTTGGTTTTAGTTTTACGACACTTAATCCAAAGGTGCTCATAATTATTGTGAAAGAAATATACGTTTCACAAAATGTTGATTTTCTCCCTACAGATCTACTGCGACATCAACTGTGTATCACCTTCTGCAAAGAAAACTCAAGAGATACTATGTCAAACATCCTGGAAAAGCTGACCATACGATCAATGACGTCGCATTCAACTCGGAGCCCATTCGCAATTCCCCGACAGTCACACCAGAGTCAGAAAATAAGAATTCATCCAAAAAGAGACGCGAATTTGCAGTTACGGCTGTGAACGCTTGCGATTTTAATGATAAAAAGCAAACTACTCCGAATGAAACAACACTAGAGTCGGAGAAGTTAGCGGTTCCGCGTGAAGGACGGGAGCAACTTTCTTCTCCAAGCCAGGAGAACTTGTCTCTATTAGATGAAGAGCTTGCGGAAAACCCCAACAGTTCACATCAAGGTGATCCAATTTCAGAGAAATCTATCAACGGAATCGACGATGATAATTCTTCCGAAAAGAAAGATAGAACTTGTAGCGTATTAAGTGACGACAGGATTGAAATCTCCAGAAAGGATTCCTGTAATTACTCTTCAGTGGAAATCATGGCTGTGAATGGTCGCCGGCTGTCGCATACTTCGGTTGAAAGCAAAGATTTAAAAGATAAAAACGAGTCAGAAGTAAAAGAAACCACTGTCAATAATCATGAAAATTGCTCGCGACGCATTTCTGAAACAAAGTTTGTTGCTCCCCAGGAGAAAAACTCGCCAAGGCTCTCGACTCCAAATACGCCATCTATAGGCAAAGTTTCCCCTATTAATGCCAAGATTATTTCTATCCCGCTGCAATCGATGAAAATGGAATTTCCTGACAAGGTAATTTACAAACTTTAATTCCTGTACCTATCGAATAAACGGTGTTTAATCTTTCACAGAGTTGTCGAAGGGTGGGCTGTTGAAGTCAAAACAATGGTAACGTTCGAGAAATGTTACATCTGGAACTTAATCCAGAAAAATTCGTGGACAAGACGATAATTTTTTTTTCAACGCAGTACTCCAGGTTTAAGACACACTCACCATACAGCTAATTCTCGTCATGCCAGCTCTTCCAAAGAGCTGTCACTGTATTCTTGCGAGTGGTTTCTTGTAGCGTGTGTTTGTCTTCATAATCATATTCGTCAGTCTTGCTTCTAACCGTCGACATGGTGGATCAGTCAGGAAATTATTCTTCTGTCTGGCTTATTCTTTTCTACTTTTACACTTTGGCCTGAGAAACTTCGCTGATTCAGTTCCAGTTAATTTACGGACACCTAGCAAACGCGGTGTTTTAGTAACGATGGGCGAAGACCGCATTTTTGTTAGGGCCACGTTTTTGACAACGAAAAACAAGATTTCAGATCTGGCTGGAAGACCTTTTTTTAGAAAGCATGGAGGTGCTCTTACGATATCAGCCGTTTCGTCGTGTCCGAGTGTAACACTGGGTTTGGTTTTTGAAAACACCAGTGCTTTTTACTGAAGTATCAAGCAGCGAGTGCCCTCTGAGTGAGTAGAAAGAACAGCACGCCTGTTATTCCGAGGGTAAAAGGAAATGTTTGGAAAAATGAATCCAAAAAAAGTGTGGTCTTTCATACTTCCATACTTTCATACTTTCCTTTTATATTTTCACAGGTAAAATTTAACCACAGACGATTTTCCCTTCCGCAGACCTTTTTACCACCCAAGAACCTTGGAAATTCTCAGCAAAGACAACATGTTCCCAGTCCCTTCCACTTCAACTCGACCTCGTCTTCTACGGATTCAAAACAGAGAAACAGAGATTCACCATCACTGCCTCCTTATGGGTTATGCTGCCAATTGACGGCAATAAAGCCCCAGGAAGAAAAAGAAGACTCTGTGACACGTGCACACGAAGCGAGATCACGTAGTGATCACGTGCAGCACAGTGGAATTGAAAATAGACATGCGCAACCGCGACGGAATGTTTACCATTCTCCTACCACCGAAAGGCGATTTTCGAGTAAACGCCATTCGGTTGCCACATCGGGAGGTAGAGAACTTTTGAAAAGTATAAATAACACTTTAGGTAGGCTTGTGGAAATTCAAGATAACACAGAGTCCTCTAAATCGCCAGACAGTTTATTACTGAGATCTCGCTTGCTTCCTGCCACAATCAACGCACCCTTAAAACACGACTCGTCCGTGGGAGGCGTAAAAATTTCTCTGATACAGGAGCACGCAGGTGTTGAACGAGTCAAAGAAAAGCGCAGCTCTGGACTCAAGATAAGTTGTAGCGTAAAGGACACTCAAACTGCTAAACCGCCACCTTTGTCAAATCCAACTGGACCTTCTACCACTGAATCAAAGTCGGCGAAAGAGCAAATTACTAGAGAGAAGAAAACTAAAGCAGGGTTGCTGAATAGAGGCGCCACAGGAAGACGAAGAAGGACATTAGAGAACAAAATCCCGATAGAAATTGACAGTGCATCATCACCAAAGGACGGGGATGGAACGCCTCTTAATCGTCGATCACGTGACGTTGATCAAAGCGCTGCGCATGACGCTGTACAGAGTGGTCGCCGATCACTTGATTCGTTGGAGGAGATCATTTAAAATTCTTAAGCAGCTTTGAGGTGTTCAAGATATTTGCATTTATGTGCCTTGTTTTGGAACATTGAACACAGAAAGCTACGACACGTGTAAGCGTTCAAATATTTCGTCTTTGAGATCTGAGTTGTTCGAAGCATAATAAGCACAACTGTGAATGCAGATTTTGGGAAGTGACCAATGATTAGTGTTAGTCGAATTTCGAATGACCTTGCTCAAGGTTTACGTTAAGAATTTTTAAGAAAAAAAAAAAGACGACGGGAATGGGTTAAGTAGAAAAAAGAATAGTTTCTCCTTTATTCGACGACCGAGCTGGGAATTTTCATCTAAACACACAACAACGTCAACAAAACTGATCTTACCAGTGTGCAGAACGCTGTTTTCATGTTCTCTACTGCACTCTGATCCAAATCCAAAGGTCTGGAATTCAATTGCTCGTGGCTGTAGGAACTCGGAATTTTACCTCGTCTTACGCTTGTAACACCACGAATAGCGACTGTTTTTTAAACACACACGTTTTTAATTTCTCTCAAGGCCGATGAAACTTTGAATTTTCATCCATCAGGTATGGTTTCTGTTTTACCCCAAAGTTGGCGAAGCATGTTTCTTTCTTTCGCCTCATGACTACCTCACTTTTGCCCGCGTTCAGCCTTGACACACAGATCCGTGACAGGGGACCTGAAGTTCATCTACCTTGTTCCCAGGGCTTTTTTAAAGCCTTGGGAACGAGGTTGGAAGTTCTTCGTTAACTCTTTTTTTGTAGCCGTGTTTTGCATGAAGGAGAAAATACTTCCATATTTATAAATTGTGCAATAGAAGGGAAGTTATTAGTTTAAGAGGTGGTTTCGTTCAATGAACTTGAAGGATAATATTAACAACTTCAATTTTCAACAGGATTTACTAAATTTAATTGAATATTTCGTAGCATTAAGTATAATCAAATGAAACACAAGATGTATTAATTGAAATCACGTTTAATGAAAATATATTGTAGAAGACATCTTACTACTATATAAGTAAAATTGCTGTCCTGGCCAACTTGATGCCTTCTTGCAGCCCTTTCCTTTCCCCCAGGCCTACTCTCGTGGCTCGAGGAGTCACTTGGGAGTAGAAGAAGTACTGAAGAAGTAAGATGGTGAGAGCGCACGATGTTACTCTTGCAGAATTTCTGGTCCAGAGGCCAGAAACCTGGGGAGGAATCACAGCAGTTCCCACGTGTACACATTTAAAACGAATTGGAGAATAAATTAAGAAAACAAAACGTGTTGGTATAATAGGCGAAATCATCCCGATTGAAATAAACTTGGCGCCCTCAGTAATTTATTATCACGATCGCATGGTGTTGAGAGTAAATTTTGCGTCTATATTTCCCTGCGCCTCGCTCCGTTTCGTGTCGCTCTGAAGAGTTTTGCAGATGTGAGTATCTTTCGTAACATTGATCTGTTTAATTCATGCGAAAGTCATTCAACAACATTGATAAAGAACTTGATTTGTCAAGCACAAATCAGGAACGAGATCAACAGACTCGGTCCATTAATCTTTTAGGTGCAATCAGAAGTCAGCTTAAAAATAAGAGATTCATTATCATAATAACCAGTCACGTGGATAAGAATTATCTCAACAAACTTGAAGATGGAAAGGCATTAATGTAGCGACAGAGGAGACCTGCGCACTGCTCTGGTTTCCAGCCTCCAAACCCAGAGCATCGGATAAAAATATGGCAGACACGTGCAATTAACTTTTGTGTGGTGCAATTCCAAGTTTGTTAGTGTTTTCCAAATTCAGTTCATATTTTTGTGGAAAAAAAGGACTTTGAATTCTCGACTCGCGACTTTTCATCATGACTATGTCGGTGAAAATTTTAAACATTTCTCTCACCGCAATCGGAAAAGGACATGAAGTTGTTGATCATGAAGGTAAGCTGAAATAAACAAGTTATGAAGAATGTTTGTAAAGTTCGTAGTCGATCCTTTGGAAACATGCTTGTTTGTTCCTTTATATTGCCGGCATTGTAAGAAGTAGTAAAAAAATTCGGAACGAGTCGAGAAGAAAATATTCCAAGATATTTTGATAGTGACTTAAATTATGAAATTTTTGTAGTAAGCGATGCCCCAAATGTTGAGAGTACCATCAACACTGCTGTCAAATCACTTAAGAATGGTAACGTGATTGCTATTCCAACTGATACAATCTATGGCGTAGCAGCCTTGGCTCAGTCCACTGAAGCAGTCTCTAAATTATACGAAATCAAGAGGCGACATGAAGAGAAGCCAGTTGCAATATGTGTTGGGAACTTGGAAGATGTATACAAGTAAGATCTATTGATTGACTATCTTCTACTTCCTAAGACCTGAAGTTGCTGAAATGATACCTATAACTGTATACAGAGTGCTTTACAAAAGTTCATCTAAGCACAACCATCCCTAAATAATTCAGAAGTTTCAGCACACTGTATGGGGGATTGGTACTGATTTGTCCTGTGTCCAGGAAATAACTGGATGAGATTTGGTTTTTTTCTGCGGGTGGTAAAGGGTTTATAGGTGATGCATGATGCATAAATTTTTACAGAACGGCAAGGTAAGGTGAGATTTGAAGTTTCCCCCTTGAGATTTGTGATGTGGAAATACTATAAAGCAAGTCCCATAATAGTAATGAAAGCCAATGGAATGACTGATTGACTGATAATTTTTTTGATCAATTGATTTTTTGACAGGGTTTGTAAAGGTCAACGGGAAATTTAGAAGTTCTAAAAGATCACTTTGTTATCCTAAGTCAGAGTCAGTGAAGTCATGGGGTATGACTGAAAATGATTTTTCTGATAACAACATAGCAGTTGATATTAGGACTGAATAACCACTTTCACATGATTTTGAAAGTAACCCCTGAATCAGAGGTGATTGAAATCAGTAACCATGCTCTGGAAAAAGTCAAAGAATTCTACAACTTAAAAAAAAAAAAAAGACAAGCGTTGATTGATTCTTACGCTTATTGATTGTACAAATGGTTGAAATGTCTTCAGGTCATTATTTGAGGTGCAATCTTACTCTTCTTGCCAGCACTTGTTACTTTTTGATTGGCAAGATAAAGAAGGTTGCTAAAGTAATTTTACAGCTGGGAAACCAGAGCTCTTGATGTTTTCATGATTTTAAAATGATCTGGTTTAGCCCCAGCCACAGGCAATGTTTCTTATAAGTGCACTTCATTCAAAAGACACTACCTACATGAATTTTTTAAGCAAAAAGTGCTCCCACCATCATAAGTTCAATTACCAAATATTCGGGGAACTTTCTAGGAGAGTTAAGTGATCTCTCTTAGAAAGAGTATTAACATGGTTTTCCTTAAGGATTGCTGTGTACAGCCTTCGACTGAAAGATTTCAGTGAGATAGATATTCAGCATTGCATCTGAAATTCTTGCTGTAGCTTTTTTTATTCCTATCATCCTGCAGCAGGTTGCCTAATTTTTTTTGGATTTTCAGATGGGGAAAAGTGACTGTGAGTAAAGAAATTCTTCAAGATTTGCTTCCTGGTCCAGTGACGTTAGTATTTGAAAGAACTGATCAGTTAAACCCTGGGTTAAACCCAATGACAAGACTTGTTGGAATTAGAATTCCTGATCACGACTTTGTACGGCAATTGAGTTTAGCATGTGAGGAGCCTCTTGCTCTGACCAGTGCAAATGTGAGCACTGTGGGACAAAGCAGTTTGAAAATTGAGGTATGGTAATTGAGCCCCACATTGTTCAAAATGTGATTAGTGCTAATCCAGGTTTTTTTTCTATTCAAGTAGCCCATGATGATTGATAATTGTTATTTGAATGACCCAGCCCAACCAACTTAAGGTTTGTGGTAACTTCAAAGAAAATCGAAAAATTCTCACTCCCAGATCTCATTAGTAATTCTCTCAACTGTCTGCCATACAATGGTCATGATGTTAGTTCAGTGAATTTAGTTTTGGATCATTACTTATAATTCCCATTTTGACATTTTTATTTTTTCTCATTTCTTGCCTTCTTAATATTGTTTTGATATTGTTGGGAGACATTCCCTCTTGGTCACTCATATGCTTCATTTCTGATACTTGTTTGTTGCAGGAATTTAAAGAAATATGGCCAAAACTGGATTTAATCCTTAATGGTGGAGTGTTGGGATTGACTGAACAGTGCCGCAAAGGTTCAACTGTTGTTAATTTGTCAGTTTCTGGCAAGTTTTCTATCATCAGGGAAGGCAGGTAATGGAAAGAAAACATGAATCTCTATTTACTTCTTTGTTGGTCATAGTCAGGTTTTTAAATCTCTGCCAACCATGCTTCTCTGATTTTAACAGTTTAGTAAACTAAGCTATGTGAGTGTACTGAGCTGCATGCAAGCTATTGTTTAGGAGTTGCTAAATCGCTTCTTTCTCACCCTTAGTGCTTTACATCCTAACATCAGGATGCATATTCTCCGAACTGTTCTCTATACTTTTCCTAGGGTGTGGCCAAGGAGAATTGGTTTAACAATCAAGAGCTTCTTTAGTTTGTAGTTGTGATCATTTCCTTTATTCTCCTGACCTTAATGTTTGGTTCAGGGGTGATATTGTAAGGAGAAATTAGATGCTAGTCACTCTTAATGGGTCGAAGAATCAATGAACTGTTCATTTTGTAATCTGGTAGGCGTTTTAACCTTAGAGAGTTATTCTTGTTTCTTTCTAGTGCTTATGATCAAACAGTGAACATACTCGGGGAAAAATATGGATTGGAGGATTGCACTAACTGATATCGTACTGCAGCAGTATTCATGGTTATTTATTTGAACAAATAAGGACCATTTAATTTATTCTCCACAATCACTCGTGATATCTAAGTAACAATTCTCTACTCTGTCGGCCCTAATTTTTTTGGAAGTTCAGCTCAGAGAATTTATTTTTATGCAAGCAATATCCCCAAAGTGTATATATATTTTTGCATTACCTTTCAGGGGTTTCAATAAAATTTCAAGTAGGCAGCTGGGTAGTGAGAGTAACTGACTGTACCAACAAGGGGCCGTCAGGCCCCTTAATCTAGGGGGGTCTGGGGGCATGCCCCCCCCCCAGAAAATTTTGACATCTGGAAGCTCTGAAATGCCATTTCTGGAGTTCTGGAGACCAAATTGAGTGCAAAAGATAAAGGAAAAACCCTATCAACAGCAAAATTTTTTTTTATTTTTACAATGCTAATAAGCTGAAAATGGAAGTTTGTATGCATTTCTTGGAAGTTTAAGGTCATTGTCACTAAAAACAATCGAGCTAAACACTTACTACTGGTAAGAAAGCATCCAGTTGCATTTTTAATCTTTCATCCATTTGTCTTTGTTTTTTTTTCCTGCGAACCCATAAACAGTTCGCAGGTGAAAAACATTCCAAGCTTCTCTGCCTACCCACCAGGACACCCGCCAGACAGGCGCCAGAAACTGTGGTAAGATCAATTAGCTGCAGCTTTTAACTCAGACTTCAAATGCGAGTGGAAAAAAATGTTAAAATGCTTAAATGAGCATCTGATTTGTTTTCGTTCTGTTCTTTTTGTAATACCATGACACAAGCAAACCTGGTTGTCATTCAAGAAAATGCAGCTTTCATTCAAGGTTCGATTTATCAGGCCACAATGAACTCCTTAACACGATAAACAAATGAAGGTAAGTAGATTACATACTTTGCACGCAGTTAAATTTTTCGTAAACCTCTTGCGTCCTAACATCACCCCAAAACGAGTCGAGTGCTGTGACCAACAAGTCACGTCCAATCTTTTGATAATTATTTAATTTTGAAACTGGGGTAAAAAGTTCATACAAGCCCATCAAAATGAATTTTAATTTAGTTTTCAAAGAATCGTTCTTTAATTATTTAAATTTAGGGAAAACGTAGCCGACTTCTGAGCGAAGTAGCCGACGCTTTTCGTCGGCTGTCGGTGCTTATTGAAAGCACCGTCTTTTCTGCTTAAAAAGCTGTCAACACTGTTGGGAGAAATTTGTTTTTGTCATTCCTGAGAGATTTTATTTCATTTCAGTTTTGTTGTTGCAGCTGTTCTTGTATTTTGTACTGTAGCAACTCTTTAAATGGAGGAAATCTTAGGGTTATAGTTCTCTTAAACCAAAGAATAGCAAGGATGATGAAGAATGGAAACAATTAAACAAAGAAAGCAACCAATAAACTAGAAAAATTTTACAGATATTTTTTCAAATTGGTGCTGTAAGACAAGAATGTATTGGCCATTTGCACCTTTAAATTTTTCATATGCCAATAGCTCTTTAGGGATAGTGCTATTTCAGTAAGAAACTGACTGGGGGAATTGCATGGTCAGCAGTGATAAGTTAAAATGACAGGGTAACATTTTTAAATTGCCAGTCTTTTGTTGTGAGACTTTTTGCATATTCACAGCAATTTGATTTCACCATATTCAAAACCACAGGGTATACATGACAGCATAATTTTTCTTTAACAATAGTATAGGAGTATTAATTAAAAAAAATTTTCCTTTGCCTTGTAACAGTACTTGTGTAATTTGTTGCATTTTGAGTATTTATTGTCTTATAGGAAATAAATTATGTTAGAGCTATTTCATGTATGCTAAATTAATTATCATGACTCCAGGAGTACATAACAATTGGACCTAAAATTAGAACCATGTTTGGCTCAGAATATGCTAATGTAAATAAAATATAACAATTTTATTTGTGTACCAATAAAATACCAGTAACTAACAACAGTTTTGTATTGACTTGGTTCTGTTGCTNTGAACTGATATTTGATACCATTGAGAATCAAAGTGCATCTGTATTAACCACTGCCTGTAAGACCTCTTGCCACTTCTTGTTAAGCCTGAAAGCAGGCACTTGTGTTTGACTTTTTAAAGAAAAGCCTCTCATCATTGGCAGTAGCCTCCTTTGCAGACGTTCTTAGGCATAGTGACACAATCATTCCTCCCCCACATGGGGAAGAATGATTGCGCGAAGATGCCTAAGAACATCTGCGCAGGAGGCTACATTGGCAGCTGCTTATGGAAAAAATTGTTGACAACCACTGATCCTTGAAATTATTGAACAAATACAGAGCCCAGTGCCACACAAAAAGTGGATGATTTATAACTAAGTGCTTTTTCACACTCTGTAATTTGAAATTAATATTGAATAACAACTGTTGTTTTAAAGATACAAAGCAAAACTTCTTTAGAAGAGTTTCTACATGAATTGTATCACACTTAAATTGGGTCATAACTTAGATAAACTAATGTTTCTTGCCAAGTTTTACATGTCATAAACAACATCTTTGTTAAACCTTTCAGGTGCAACTACACTTCTTGTGTGGTTTAAATACAAAGTTTTGTGCAATAAATAACAATATTTTGAAAAACTGTCAATCTTAACTTCTATTTCAAGCAAAGAACTTGCAAAAACAGGGCAATAAATTATGAACATTTGAACAAGATGTCATTCAACCCATCATCCACTGCACAAAGGAAAGTACCCTCCCAGAAGGGGAGAAAAATTACTTTCATTTATAGATTACATTTCACTGATCTCAGTTTGACCTCTGGATAATGAAAAGATAATTTGAAAACAAAAACATGTATCCTGATACCAGAACCAATGACTTGCACACCTGCAAGATGACGAGCAGTTGATTTAACCGCCTCCCGGTTAGCTCAATGGATAGAGCGCTGGACTGTTATGCAGGAGGTCGAGGGTTTGAGCCCCGGCCGGACCAACACTCAAGGTCTTAAAATAGTTGAGAAGAATTTGCTACCTTTCTATAACATCAAGAAATGGTTAGATATTCTAGTCTTCTCGGATAGGGACGAATAAATGGAGGTCCCGTCTCCTGCAGGGTTGGGGTAGGAGACGTTAATTTCCCACACACGAGATTACTGTGTGATGGATGTCCTCCCCTGGGGTGGGATGG